ATAATGAAGTCTATTTATCCTATTCTCCACGGATGATAAGTCCATTAAGCACCGGTTTGGGCCAATTTATTTTCGGATGTCATTTGCATAATTTTTTGGGCGACGAAAGGCCATTTCTTTGGATATTGAAGGCTACAGATCACGGATTTTGGCAGAAAATGGCATTTCGGATAAATCGCTCGAAATCTGTGATGGTACCCCTTTGAAATCTTCAAAAAATTGACCTGGAATAAATCAACCCAAATTGGTGTTTAATAGACTCAATCATCATTGGAGAATAGCCTCAGGCCGAATCCGTGATCTGTAGCCTTCAAATCCAAAGAAAATGGCCTTTCGTCGCCAAAGAAAATACAAAAATGCCATCAGAAAATAAATTGGCACAAATCGATGCTCAACGGACTTATCATCCGTGGAGAATAGGATCAATAGACTTCATTATCAGTGGAGAATAGCCTCGGCCTGATTCCGTGATCTGTAGCCTCTGGAATCGAAAGAAAATGGCATTACGGATAAATCGCCCGAAATCTGTGATGGTACCCCTTTGGAATCTGCCAAAAATTGACCCAGAATAAATCCGACCAAATCGGTGCTTAATAGACTCAATCATCGTTGGAGAATAGCCTCAGGCCGAATCCGTGATCTGTAGCCTTCAATATCCAAAGAAAATGGCCTTTCGTCGCACAAAATATTACGAAAATGCCAACCGAAAATAAATTGGCCCAAATCGATGCTTAACGAACTTATCATCCGTCGAGAATAGGATCAATAGACTTCATTATCGGTGGAGAATAGCCTCGGCCTGATTCCTTGATCTGTAGCCTCCAGAATCGAAAGAAAATGGCATTTCAGATAAATCGCCCAAAACCTGTGATGGTACCCCTTTGGAATCTGCCAAAAATTGACCCGGAATAAATCCGCCCAAATCGGTGCTTAATGGACTCAATCATCGTTGGAGAATAGTCTCAGGCGAATCCGTGATCTGTAGCCTTCAATATCCAAAGAAAATGGCCTTTCGTCGCCCAAGAAATTACGAAAATGCCATCCGAAAATAAATTGGCCCAAATTGATGCTTAACAGACTTATCATCCGTGGAGAATAGGATCAATAGACTTCATCATCGATGGAGAATAGCGTCGGCCTGATTCCGTGATCTGTAGCCTCCAGAATCGAAAGAAAATGGCATTTCAGATAAATCGCCCGAAATCTGTGATGGTACGTACCCCTTTGGAATCTGCCAAAAATTGACCCGGAATAAATCCGCCCAAATCAGTGCTTAATGGAATCATTCATCGTTGGAGAATAGCCTCAGGCCGATCCGTGATCTGTAGCCTCCAGAATCGAAAGAAATAGGCATTTCGGATAAATCGCCCGAAATTTGTGACCCATTTGGAATCTGCCAAAAATTGTTCCGGAATAAATCCGCCCAAATCGGTGCTTAATGGACTCAATCATCGTTGGAGAATAGCCTCAGGCCGAATACGTGATCTGTTGCCTTAAGTATCTAAAGAAAATGGCCTTCCGTCGCCCAAGAAATTACGAAAATGCCATCCGAAAATAAATTGGCCCAAATCGATGCTTAATGGACTTATCATCCGTGGAGAATAGGATCAATAGACTTCATTATCGGTGGAGAATAGCCTCGCCCTGATTCCGTGATCTGTAGTCTCAGGAATCGAAAGAAAATGGAATTTCGGATAAATCGCCTGAAATCTGTGATGGTACCCCCTTTGGAATCTGCCAAAAATTGACCCGGAATAAATCCGACCAAATCGTTGCTTACTAGACTCAATTATCGTTGGAGAATAGCCTCAGGCTGAATCCTTGATCTGTAGCCTTCAATATCCAAAGAAAATGGCCTTTCGTCGCACAAGAAATTACGAAAATGCCATCCGAAAATAAATTGGCCCAAATCGATGCTTAACGGACTTATCTTCCGTGGAGAATAGGATCAATAGACTTCATTATCGGTGGAGAATAGCCTCGGCCTGATTCCGTGATCTGTAGCCTCCAGAATCGAAAGAAAATGGCATTTCGGATAAATCGCCCAAAATCTTTGATGGTTCGTACCCCTTTGGAATCAGCCAAAAATTGACTTGGAATAAATCACCCCAAATCGGTGCTTAATGGACTCAATCATCGTTGGAGAATAGCCTCAGGCCGAATCCGTGATCTGTAGCCTTCAATATCCTAAGAAAATGGCCTTTCGTCACACAAGAAATTACGAACATGCCATCCAAAAATAAATGGGCCCAAATCGATCCTTAACGGACTTATCGTCCGTGGAGAATAGGATCAATAGACTTCATTATCGGTGGAGAATAGCCTCGGCCTGATTCCGTTATCTGTAGCATTCAAAATCAAAAGAAAATGACATTTCGGATAAATCGCCCGAAATCTGTGATGGTACCCCCTTTGGAATCTGCCAAAAATTGACCAGGAATAAATCCGCCCAAATCATTGCTTAATGGACTCAATCATCGTTGGAGAATAGCCTCAGGCTGAATCCGTGATCTGTAGCCTTCAATATCCGAAGAAAATGGTCTTTCGTCGCCCAAGAAATTACGAAAATGCCATCAAAAAATAAATTGGCCCAAATTGATGCTTAACGGGCTTATTATCCGTGGAGAAAAGGATCAATAGTCTTCATTATCGATGGAGAATAGCATCAGCCTGATTTCGTGATCTGTAGCCTCCAGAATCGAAAGAAAATGGGAGTTTGGATAAATCGCCCGAAACTGTGATGGTACCCCTTTGGAATCTGCCAAAAATTCACCCGGAATAAATCCGCACAAATCGGTGCTTCATGGACTCAATCATCGTTGGAGAATAGCCTCAGGCCGAATCCGTGATCTGTAGCCTTCAATATCCAAAGAAAATGGCCTTTTGTCACCCAAGAAATTACGAAAATGCCATCCGAAAATAAATTTGCCCAAATCGATGCTTAACGGACTTATCATCCGTGGAGAATTGGATCAATTGACTTCTTTATTAGTGGAGAATAGCCTCGGCCTGATTCCGTGATCTGTAGCCTCCAGAATCGAAAGAAAATGGCAGTTTGGATAAATCGCTCGAAATCTGTGATGGTACCCCTTTGGAATCTGCCAAATTGACCCGGAATAAATCCGCCAAAATCGGTGCTTAATGTACTCAATCATCGTTGGAGAATAGCCTCAGGCCGAATCCGTGATCTGTAGCCTTTAATATCCAAAGAAAATGGCCTTTCGACTCCCAAGAAATTACGAATATGCCATCCGAAAATAAATTGGCCCAACTCGATGCTTAACGGACTTATCATCCGTGGAGAATAGGATCAATAGACTTCATTATAGGTGGAGAATAGCCTCGGCCTGATTCCATGATCTGTAGCCTCCAGAATCGAAAGAAAATGACATTTCGGATAAATCGCCCGAAATCTGTGATGGTACCTCTTGGAATCGGCCAAAAATTGGCCCGGAATAAATCCGCCCAAATCGGTGCTTAATGGACTCAATCATCATTGGAGAATAGACACATTCCGAATCCGTGATCTATAGCCTTCAATATCCAAAGAAAATGTCCTTTCGTCGCCGAAGCTATTACGAAAATGCCATCCGAAAATAAATCGGCCCAAATCGATGCTTAACGGACTTATCATCCGTGGAGAATAGAATAAATTGACTTCATTATCGGTGGAGAATAGCCTCGGCCTGTTTCCGTGATCTGTAGCCTCCAGAAACGAAAGAAAATGGCATTTCAGATAAATCGCCCGAAAGCTGTGATGGTACCCCCTTGGATTATGCCAAAAATTGACCCGTAATAAATCCGCCCAATTCAGTGCTTAATGGACTCAATCATCGTTGGAGAATAGCCTCAGGCCGAATCCGTGATCTGTAGCCTTCAATATCCAAAGAAAATGGCCTTTCGTCGCCCATGAAATTACGAAAATTCCATCCGAAAATAAATTGGCCAAATCCATGCTTAACGGACTTATCATCCGTAGAGAATAGGATCAAAAGACTTCATTATCGGTGGAGCATAGCCTCAGCCTGATTTCGTGATCTGTAGCCTCTCCAATCAAAAGAAAATGGCATTTCGGATAAATCGGCCGAAATCTGTAATGGTACCCATTGGAATCGGCCAAAAATTGGCCCGGAATAAATCCGCCCAAATCGGTGCTTAATGGACTCAATCATCATTGGAGAATAGACACAGTCCGAATCCGTGATCTGTAGCCTTCAATATCCAAAGAAAATGGCCTTTCGTCGCTTAAAAAATTACGAAAATGCCATCCAAAAATAAATCGGCCCAAATCGATGCTTAACGGACTTATCATCCGTGGAGAATAGAATAAATTGACTTCATTATCGGTGGAGAATAGCCTCGGCCTGTTTCCGTGATCTGTAGCCTCCAGTAAGGAAAGAAAATGGCATTTCGGATAAATCGCCCGAAAGCTGTGATGGTACCCCTTTGGATTATGCCAAAAATTGACCGGAATAAATCCGCCAAAATCAGTGCTTAATGGACTCAATCATCGTTGGAGAATAGCCTCAAGGCAAATCCGTGATCGGTAGCCTTCAATATCCAAAGAAAATGGCCTTTCGTCGCCCAAGAAATTACGAAAATGCCATCCGAAAATAAATTGGCCCAAATCGATGCTTAACGGACTTATCATCCGTGGAGAATAGAATCAATAGACTTCATTATCGGTGGAGAATAGCCTCGGTCTGATTCCGTGATCTGTAGCCTCTGGAATCGAAAGAAAATGGCATTTCGGATAAATCGGCCAAAATCTGTGATGGTACCCCTTTGGAATCTGCCAAAAATTGACCCGGAATAAATCCGCCCAAATCGGTGCTTAATGGACTTGATCATCGTTGGAGAATAGCCACAGGCCGAATCCGTGATCTGTAGCCTTAAATATCCAAAGAAAATGGCCTTTCGTCGCCCATGAAATTACGAAAATTCCATCCGAAAATAAATTGGCCAAATCCATGCTTAACGGACATATCATCCGTAGAGAATAGGATCAATAGACTTCATTATCGGTGGAGCATAGCCTCGGCCTGATTTCGTGATCTGTAGCCTCCCCAATCAAAAGAAAATGGCATTTCGGATAAATCGGCCGAAATCTGTGATGGTACCCGTTGGAATCGGCCAAAAATTGGCCCGGAATAAATCCGCCAAAATCGGTGCTTAATGTACTCAATCATCTTTGGAGAATAGCCTCAGGCAGAATCCGTGATCTGTAGCCTTTAATATCCAAAGAAAATGGCCTTTCGACTCCCAAGAAATTACGAATATGCCATCCGAAAATAAATTGGCCCAACTCGATGCTTAACGGACTCAATCATCATTGGAGAATAGACACAGTCCGAATTCGTGATCTGTAGCCTTCAATTTCCAAAGAAAATGGCCTTTCGTCGCCTAAGAAATTACGAAAATGCCATCCGAAAATAAATCGGCCCAAATCGATGCTTAACGGACTTATCATCCGTGGAGAATACAATAAATTGACTTCATTATCGGTGGAGAATAGCCTCGGCCTGTTTCCGTGATCGGTAGCCTCCAGAAACGAAAGAAAATGGCATTTCGGATAAATCGACCGAAAGCTGTAATGGTACCCCTTTGGATTATGCCAAAAATTGACCCGGAATAAATCCGCCCAAATCAGTGCTTAATGGACTCAATCATCGTTGGAGAATAGCCTCAAGCCGAATCCGTGATCGGTAGACTTCTATATCCAAAGAAAATGGACTTTCGTCGCCCAAGAAATTACGAAAATGCCATCCGAAAATAAATTGGCCCAAATCGATGCTTAACGGACTTATCATCCGTGGAGAATAGGATCAATAGACTTCATTATCGGTGGAGAATAGCCTCGGTCTGATTCCGTGATCTGTAGCCTCTCGAATCGAAAGAAAATGGCATTTCGGATAAATCGGCCGAAATCTGTGATGGAACCCCTTTGGAATCTGCCAAAAATTGACCCGGAATAAATCCCCCCAAATCGCTGCTTAATGGACTTGATCATCGTTGGAGAATAGCCTCAGGCCGAATCCGTGATATGTAGCCTTCAATATCCAAAGAAAATGGCCTTTCGTCGCCCATGAAATTACGAAAATTCCATCCGAAAATAAATTGGCCAAATCCATGCTTAACGGACTTATCATCCGTAGAGAATAGGATCAATAGACTTCATTATCGGTGGAGCATAGCCTCGGCCTGATTTCGTGATCTGTAGCCTCTCCAATCAAAAGAAAATGGCATTTCGGATAAATCGGCCGAAATCTGTGATGGTACCCCTTGGAATCGGCCAAAAATTGGCCCGGAATAAATCCGCCCAAATCGGTGCTTAATTGGACTCAATCATCATTGGAGAATAGACACAGTCCGAATCCGTGATCTGTTGCCTTCAATATCCAAAGAAAATGGCCTTTCGTCGCTTAAGAAATTACGAAAATGCCATCCGAAAATAAATCGGCCCAAATCGATGCTTAACGGACTTATCATCTGTGGAGAATAGAATAAATTGACTTCATTATCGGTGGAGAATAGCCTCGGCCTGTTTCCGTGATCTGTAGCCTCCAGAAACGAAAGAAAATGGCAATTCGGATAAATCGCCCGAAAGCTGTGATGGTAGCCCTTTGGATTATATCAAAAATTGACCCGAAATAAATCCGCCCAAATCAGTGCTTAATGGACTCAATCATCGTTGGAGAATAGCCTCAGGCCGAATCCGTGATCGGTAGCCTTCAATATCCAAAGAAAATGGCCTTTCGTCGCACAAGAAATTACGAAAATGCCATCCGAAAATAAATTGGCCCAAATCGATGCTTAACGGACTTATCATCCGTAGAGAATAGGATCAATAGACTTCATTATCGGTGGAGAATAGCCTCGGTCTGATTCCGTGATCTGTAGCCTCTCGAATCGAAAGAAAATGGCATTTCGGATAAATCGGCCGAAATCTGTGATGGTACCCCTATGGAATCTGCCAAAAATTGACCCGGAATAAATCCGCCCAAATCGGAGCTTAATGGACTTGATCATCGTTGGAGAATAGCCTCAGGCCGTATCCGTGATCTGTAGCCTTCAATATCCAAAGAAAATGGCCTTTCTCGCCCATGAAATTACGAAAATTCCATCCGAAAATAAATTGGCCAAATCCATGCTTAACGGACTTATCATCCGTAGAGAATAGGATCAATAGACTTCATTATCGGTGGAACATAGCCTCGGCCTGATTTCGCGATCTGTAGCCTCTCCAATCAAAAGAAAATGGCATTTCGGATAAATCGGCCGAAATCTGTGATGGTACCCCTTGGAATCGGCCAAAAATTGGCCCGGAATAAATCCGCCCAAATCGGTGCTTAATGGTCTCAATCATCATTGGAGAATAGACACAGTCCGAATTCGTGATCTGTAGCCTTCAATATCCAAAGAAAATGGCCTTTCGTCGCCTAAGAAATTACGAAAATGCCATCCGAAAATAAATCGGCCCAAATCGATGCTTAACGGACTTATCATCCGTGGAGAATAGAATAAATTGACTTCATTATCGGTGGAAAATAGCCTCGGCCTGTTTCCGTGATCTGTAGCCTCCAGAAACGAAAGAAAATGGCATTTCGGATAAATCGACCGAAAGCTGTGATGGTACCCCTTTGGATTATGCCAAAAATTGACCCGGAATAAATCCGCCCAAATCAGTGCTTAATGGACTCAATCATCGTTGGAGAATAGCCTCAAGCCGAATCCGTGATCGGTAGCCTTCAATATCCAAAGAAAATGGCCTTTCGTCGCCCAAGAAATTACGAAAATGCTATCCGAAAATAAATTGGCCCAAATCGATGCTTAACGGACTTATCATCCATAGAGAATAGGATCAATAGACTTCATTATCGGTGGAGAATAGCCTCGGTCTGATTCCGTGATCTGTAGCCTCTCGAATCGAAAGAAAATGGCATTTCGGATAAATCGGCCGAAATCTGTGATAGTACCCCTATGGAATCTGCCAAAAATTGACCCGGAATAAATCCGCCCAAATCGGTGCTTAATGGACTTGATCATCGTTGGACAATAGCCTCATGCCGAATCCGTGATCTGTAGCCTTCAATATCCAAAGAAAATGGCCTTTCTCGCCCATGAAATTACGAAAATTCCATCCGAAAATAAATTGGCCAAATCCATGCTTAACGGACTTATCATCCGTAGAGAATAGGATATATAGACTTCATTATCGGTGGAACATAGCCTCGGCCTGATTTCGCGATCTGTAGCCTCTCCAATCAAAAGAAAATGGCATTTCGGATAAATCGGCCGAAATCTGTGATGGTACCCCTTTGAATCGGCCAAAAATTGGCCCGGAATAAATCCGCCCAAATCGGTGCTTAATGGACTCAATCATCATTGGAGAATAGACACAGTCCGAATTCGTGATCTGTAGCCTTCAATATCCAAAGAAAATGGCCTTTCGTCGCCTAAGAAATTACGAAAATGCCATCCGAAAATAAATCGGCCCAAATCGATGCTTAACGGACTTATCATCCATGGAGAATAGAATAAATTGACTTCATTATCGGTGGAGAATAGCCTCGGCCTGTTTCCGTGATCTGTAGCCTCCAGAAACGAAAGAAAATGGCATTTCGGATAAATCGACCGAAAGCTGTGATGGTACCCCTTTGGATTATGCCAAAAATTGACCCGGAATAAATCCGCCCAAATCAGTGCTTAATGGACTCAATCATCGTTGGAAAATAGCCTCAAGCCGAATCCGTGATCGGTAGTCTTCAATATCCAAAGAAAATGGGCTTTCGTCGCCCAAGAAATTACGAAAATGCCATCCGAAAATAAATTGGCCCAAATCGATGCTTAACGGACTTATCATCCGTGGAGAATAGGATCAATAGACTTCATTATCGGTGGAGATTAGCCTCGGTCTGATTCCGTGATATGTAGCCTCTCGAATCGAAAGAAAATGGCATTTCGGATAAATCGGCCGAAATCTGTGATGGTACCCCTTTGGAATCTGCCAAAAATTGACCCGGAATAAATCCGCCCAAATCGGTGCTTAATGGACTTGATCATCGTTGGAGAATAGCCTTAGGCCGAATCCGTGATCTGTAGCCTTCAATATCTAAAGAAAATGGCCTTTCGTCGCCCATGAAATTACGAAAATTCCATCCGAAAATAAATTGGCCAAATCCATGCTTAACGGACTTATCATCCGTAGAGAATAGGATCAATAGACTTCATTATCGGTGGAGCATAGCCTCGGCCTGATTTCGTGATCTGTAGCATCTCCAATCAAAAGAAAATGGCATTTCGGATAAATCGGCCGAAATCTGTGATGGTACCCCTTGGAATCGGCCAAAAATTGGCCCGGAATAAATCCGCCCAAATCGGTGCTTAATGGACTCAATCATCATTGGAGAATAGACACAGTCCGAATTCGTGATCTGTAGCCTTCAATATCCAAAGAAAATGGCCTTTCGTCGCCTAAGAAATTACGAAAATGCCATCCGAAAATAAATCGGCCCAAATCGATGCTTAACGGACTTATCATCCATGGAGAATAGAATAAATTGACTTCATTATCGGTGGAGAATAGCCTCGGCCTGTTTCCGTGATCTGTAGCCTCCAGAAACGAAAGAAAATGGCATTTCGGATAAATCGACCGAAAGCTGTGATGGTACCCCTTTGGATTATGCCAAAAATTGACCCGGAATAAATCCGCCCAAATCAGTGCTTAATGGACTCAATCATCGTTGGAAAATAGCCTCAAGCCGAATCCGTGATCGGTAGTCTTCAATATCCAAAGAAAATGGGCTTTCGTCGCCCAAGAAATTACGAAAATGCCATCCGAAAATAAATTGGCCCAAATCGATGCTTAACGGACTTATCATCCGTGGAGAATAGGATCAATAGACTTCATTATCGGTGGAGATTAGCCTCGGTCTGATTCCGTGATATGTAGCCTCTCGAATCGAAAGAAAATGGCATTTCGGATAAATCGGCCGAAATCTGTGATGGTACCCCTTTGGAATCTGCCAAAAATTGACCCGGAATAAATCCGCCCAAATCGGTGCTTAATGGACTTGATCATCGTTGGAGAATAGCCTTAGGCCGAATCCGTGATCTGTAGCCTTCAATATCTAAAGAAAATGGCCTTTCGTCGCCCATGAAATTACGAAAATTCCATCCGAAAATAAATTGGCCAAATCCATGCTTAACGGACTTATCATCCGTAGAGAATAGGATCAATAGACTTCATTATCGGTGGAGCATAGCCTCGGCCTGATTTCGTGATCTGTAGCATCTCCAATCAAAAGAAAATGGCATTTCGGATAAATCGGCCGAAATCTGTGATGGTACCCCTTTGGAATCTGCCAAAAATTGACCCGGAATAAATTCGCCCAAATCGGTGCTTAATGGACTCGATCATCGTTGGAGAATAGCCTCAGGCCGAATCCGTGATCTGTAGCCTTCAATATCCAAAGAAAATGGTCTTTCGTCGCCCAAGAAATTACGAAAATGCCATCCGAAAATAAATTGGCCCAAATCGATGCTTAACGTACTTATCATCCGTGGAGAATAGGATCAATAGACTTCATTATCGATGGAGAATAGCCTGGGCCTGATTTTGTGATCTGTAGCCTCCAGAATCGAAAGAAAATGGCATTTCGGATAAATCGCCAGAAATCTGTGATGGTACCCCATTGGAATCCGCCAATAATTGACCCGGAATAAACCCGCCTGAATCGGTGCTTAATGGATTCAATGATCGTTGGAGAATAGCCTCAGGCCGAATCCGTGATCTGTAGCTTTCAATATCCAAAGAAAATGGCCTTTCGTGGTCTAAGAAATTAGGAAAATGCCATCCGAAAATAAATTGGCCCAAATCGATGGTTAACGGACTTATCATCCATGGAGAATAGGATCAATTGACTTCATTATCGGTGGAGAATAGTCTCGGCCTGATTCCGTGATCTGTAGCCTCCAAAATCGAAAGAAAATGTCATTTTGGATAAATCGCCCGAAATAAGTGATGGTACCCCTTTGGAATCTGCCAAAAATTGACCCGGAATAAACGCGCCTAAATCAATGCTTAATAAACTCAATCATCGTTGGAGAATAGCCTCAGGCCGAATCCGTGATCTGTAGCCTTCAATATCCACAGAAAATGGCCTTTCGTCGCCCAAGAAATTACGAAAATGCCATCCGAAAATAAATTGGCCCAAATCGATGCTTAACAGACTTATCATCCGTGGAGAATAGGATCAATAGAATTCATTATCGTTGGAGAATAGCCTCGACCTGATTCCGTGATCAGTAACCTCCAAAATCGAAAAAATGGCATTTTGGATAAATCGCCCGAAATTTGTGATGGTACCCCTCAAGAAATCTGCCAAAAATTCTCCCGGAATAAATCCGCCCAAATATGTGCTTAATGGACTCAATCATCGTTGGAGAATAGCCTTAGGCCGAATCCGTGATTTGTAGCTTTCAATTTCCAAAGAAAATGGCCTTTCGTCGCCCAAGAAGTTACGAAAATGCTATCCGAAAATAAATTGGCCCAAATCGATGCTTAACGGACTTAACATCAGTGGAGAATAATATCAATAGACTTCATTCTGGATGAAGAATAGTCTCGGCCAGATTCCGTGATATGTAACCTCCAGAATCGAAAGAAAACGACATTTCGAATAAAACGCCCAAAATCTGTGATAGTACTCCTTTGGAATCTGCCAAAAATTGACAAGGTTTAAATCCGCACAAATCGGTGCTTAATGGACTCAATCATCGTGGAGAATAGACTCAGGCCGAATCCGTGATCTGTAGCCTTCAATATCAAAAGAAAATGGCCATTCGTCGCCAAGAAATCACGAAAATGCCATCCGAAAATAAATTTGCTCAAATCGATGCTTAAAGGACTTATCATCTGTGGAGAATAGGATCAATAGACTTCATTATCGGTGGAGAATAGCCTCGGCCTGATTCCGTGATCTGTAGACTCCAGAATTGAAAGAAAATGGCATTTCGGATAAATCGCCTGAAATCTATGATGGTACCCCTTTGGAATCTGCCAAAAATTGACCCAGAATAAATCTGCCCGAATCGGTGCTTAATGGACTCAATGATCGTTGGAGAATAGCCTCGGGCCGAATCCGTGATCTGTAGGCTTCAATATTCAAAGAAAATGGCCTTTCGTCGCCCAAGAAATTACGAAAATGCCATCCGGAAAATAAATTGGCCCAAATCGATGCTTAACGGACTTATCATCTGTGGAGAATAGGATCAATAGACTTAATTATCGGTGGAGAATAGCCTCGGCCTGATTCCGTGATCTGTAGCCTCCAGAATCGAAAGAAAATGGCATTTCGGATAAATCGCCTGAAATCTGTGATGGTACCCCTTTGGAATCTGCCAAAAATTGACCCAGAATAAATCTGCCCGAATCGGTGCTTAATGGACTCAATGATCCATGGAGAATAGCCTCAGGCCGCATCCGTGATCTGTAGCCTTCAATATCCAAAGAAAATGGCCTTTCGTCGCACAAGAAATTACGAAAATGCCTTCCGAAAATAAATTGGCCCAAATCGATGCTTAACGGACTTATCATCCGTGGAGAATTGGATCAATTGACTTCTTTATTAGTGGAGAATAGCCTCGGCCTGATTCCGTGATCTGTAGCCTCCAGAATCGAAAGAAAATGGCAGTTTGGATAAATCGCTCGAAATCTGTGATGGTACCCCTTTGGAATCTGCCAAATTGACCCGGAATAAATCCGCCAAAATCGGTGCTTAATGTACTCAATCATCGTTGGAGAATAGCCTCAGGGCGAATCCGTGATCTGTAGCCTTTAATATCCAAAGAAAATGGCCTTTCGACTCCCAAGAAATTACGAATATGCCATCCGAAAATAAATTGGCCCAACTCGATGCTTAACGGACTTATCATCCGTGGAGAATAGGATCAATAGACTTCATTATAGGTGGAGAATAGCCTCGGCCTGATTCCATGATCTGTAGCCTCCAGAATCGAAAGAAAATGACATTTCGGATAAATCGCCCGAAATCTGTGATGGTACCTCTTGGAATCGGCCAAAAATTGGCCCGGAATAAATCCGCCCAAATCGGTGCTTAATGGACTCAATCATCATTGGAGAATAGACACATTCCGAATCCGTGATCTATAGCCTTCAATATCCAAAGAAAATGTCCTTTCGTCGCCGAAGCAATTACGAAAATGCCATACGAAAATAAATTGGCCCAAATCGATGCTTAACGGACTTATCATCCGTGGAGAATAGAATAAATTGACTTCATTATCGGTGGAGAATAGCCTCGCCCTGTTTCCGCGATCTGTAGCCTCCAGAAACGAAAGAAAATGGCATTTCAGATAAATCGCCCGAAAGCTGTGATGGTACCCCCTTGGATTATGCCAAAAATTGACCCGGAATAAATCCGCCCAATTCAGTGCTTAATGGACTCAATCATCGTTGGAGAATAGCCTCAGGCCGAATCCGTGATATGTAGCCTTCAATATCCAAAGAAAATGGCCTTTCGTCGCCCATGAAATTACGAAAATTCCATCCGAAAATAAATTGGCCAAATCCATGCTTAACGGACTTATCATCCGTAGAGAATAGGATCAAAAGACTTCATTATCGGTGGAGCATAGCCTCAGCCTGATTTCGTGATCTGTAGCCTCTCCAATCAAAAGAAAATGGCATTTCGGATAAATCGGCCGAAATCTGTAATGGTACCCATTGGAATCGGCCAAAAATTGGCCCGGAATAAATCCGCCCAAATCGGTGCTTAATGGACTCAATCATCATTGGAGAATAGACACAGTCCGAATCCGTGATCTGTAGCCTTCAATATCCAAAGAAAATGGCCTTTCGTCGCTTAAAAAATTACGAAAATGCCATCCGAAAATAAATCTGCCCAAATCGATGCTTAACGGACTTATCATCCGTGGAGAATAGAATAAATTGACTTCATTATCGGTGGAGAATAGCCTCGGCCTGTTTCCGTGATCTGTAGCCTCCAGTAAGGAAAGAAAATGGCATTTCGGATAAATCGCCCGAAAGCTGTGATGGTACCCCTTTGGATTATGCCAAAAATTGACCGGAATAAATCCGCCAAAATCAGTGCTTAATGGACTCAATCATCGTTGGAGAATAGCCTCAAGCCGAATCCGTGATCGGTAGCCTTCAATATCCAAAGAAAATGGCCTTTCGTCGCCCAAGAAATTACGAAAATGCCATCCGAAAATAAATTGGCCCAAATCGATGCTTAACGGACTTATCATCCGTGGAGAATAGAATCAATAGACTTCATTATCGGTGGAGAATAGCCTCGGTCTGATTCCGTGATCTGTAGCCTCTGGAATCGAAAGAAAATGGCATTTCGGATAAATCGGCCAAAATCTGTGATGGTACCCCTTTGGAATCTGCCAAAAATTGACCCGGAATAAATCCGCCCAAATCGGTGCTTAATGGACTTGATCATCGTTGGAGAATAGCCATAGGCCGAATCCGTGATCTGTAGCCTTCAATATCCAAAGAAAATGGCCTTTCGTCGCCCATGAAATTACGAAAATTCCATCCGAAAATAAATTGGCCAAATCCATGCTTAACGGACATATCATACGTAGAGAATAGGATCAATAGACTTCATTATCGGTGGAGCATAGCCTCGGCCTGATTTCGTGATCTGTAGCCTCCCCAATCAAAAGAAAATGGCATTTCGGATAAATCGGCCGAAATCTGTGATGGTACCCGTTGGAATCGGCCAAAAATTGGCCCGGAATAAATCCGCCAAAATCGGTGCTTAATGTACTCAATCATCGTTGGAGAATAGCCTCAGGCCGAATCCGTGATCTGTAGCCTTTAATATCCAAAGAAAATGGCCTTTCGACTCCCAAGAAATTACGAATATGCCATCCGAAAATAAATTGGCCCAACTCGATGCTTAACGGACTCAATCATCATTGGAGAATAGACACAGTCCGAATTCGTGATCTGTAGCCTTCAATATCCAAAGAAAATGGCCTTTCGTCGCCTAAGAAATTACGAAAATGCCATCCGAAAATAAATCGGCCCAAATAGATGCTTAACGGACTTATCATCCGTGGAGAATACAATAAATTGACTTCATTATCGGTGGAGAATAGCCTCGGCCTGTTTCCGTGATCGGTAGCCTCCAGAAACGAAAGAAAATGGCATTTCGGATAAATCGACCGAAAGCTGTAATGGTACCCCTTTGGATTATGCCAAAAATTGACCCGGAATAAATCCGCCCAAATCAGTGCTTAATGGACTAAATCATCGTTGGAGAATAGCCTCAAGCCGAATCCGTGATCGGTAGCCTTCTATATCCAAAGAAAATGGACTTTCGTCGCCCAAGAAATTACGAAAATGCCATCCGAAAATAAATTGGCCCAAATCGATGCTTAACGGACTTATCATCCGTGGAGAATAGGATCAATAGACTTCATTATCGGTGGAGCATAGCCTCGGCCTGATTTCGTGATCTGTAGCCTCTCCAATCAAAAGAAAATGGCATTTCGAATAAATCGGCCGAAATCTGTGATGGTACCCCTTGGAATCGGCCAAAAATTGGCCCGGAATAAATCCGCCCAAATCGGTGCTTAATTGGACTCAATCATCATTGGAGAATAGACACAGTCCGAATCCGTGATCTGTTGCCTTCAATATCCAAAGAAAATGGCCTTTCGTCGCTTAAGAAATTACGAAAATGCCATCCGAAAATAAATCGGCCCAAATCGATGCTTAACGGACTTATCATCCGTGGAGAATAGAATAAATTGACTTCATTATCGGTGGAGAATAGCCTCGGCCTGTTTCCGTGATCTGTAGCCTCCAGAAACGAAAGAAAATGGCAATTCGGATAAATCGCCCGAAAGCTGTGATGGTAGCCCTTTGGATTATGCCAAAAATTGACCCGAAATAAATCCGCCCAAATCAGTGCTTAATGGACTCAATCATCGTTGGAGAATAGCCTCAAGCCGAATCCGTGATCGGTAGCCTTCAATATCCAAAGAAAATGGCCTTTCGTCGCACAAGAAATTACGAAAATGCCATCCGAAAATAAATTGGCTCAAATCGATGCTTAACGGACTTATCATCCGTAGAGAATAGGATCAATAGACTTCATTATCGGTGGAGAATAGCCTCGGTCTGATTCCGTGATCTGTAGTCTCTCGAATCGAAAGAAAATGGCATTTCGGATAAATCGGCCGAAATCTGTGATGGTACCCCTATGGAATCTGCCAAAAATTGACCCGGAATAAATCCGCCCAAATCGGTGCTTAATGGACTTGATCATCGTTGGAGAATAGCCTCAGGCCGAATCCGTGATCTGTAGCCTTCAATATCCAAAGAAAATGGCCTTTCTCGCCCATGAAATTACGAAAATTCCATCCGAAAATAAATTGGCCAAATCCATGCTTAACGGACTTATCATCCGTAGAGAATAGGATCAATAGACTTCATTATCGGTGGAACATAGCCTCGGCCTGATTTCGCGATCTGTAGCCTCTCCAATCAAAAGAAAATGGCATTTCGGATAAATCGGCCGAAATCTGTGATGGTACCCCTTGGAATCGGCCAAAAATTGGCCCGGAATAAATCCGCCCAAATCGGTGCTTAATGGTCTCAATCATCATTGGAGAATAGACACAGTCCGAATTCGTGATCTGTAGCCTTCAATATCCAAAGAAAATGGCCTTTCGTCGCCTAAGAAATTACGAAAATGCCATCCGAAAATAAATCGGCCCAAATCGATGCTTAACGGACTTATCATCCGTGGAGAATAGAATAAATTGACTTCATTATCGGTGGAAAATAGCCTCGGCCTGTTTCCGTGATCTGTAGCCTCCAGAAACGAAAGAAAATGGCATTTCGGATAAATCGACCGAAAGCTGTGATGGTACCCCTTTGGATTATGCCAAAAATTGACTCGGAATAAATCCGCCCAAATCAGTGCTTAATGGACTCAATCATCGTTGGAGAATAGCCTCAAGCCGAATCCGTGATCGATAGCCTTCAATATCCAAAGAAAATGGCCTTTCGTCGCCCAAGAAATTACGAAAATGCCATCCGAAAATAAATTGGCCCAAATCGATGCTTAACGGACTTATCATCCATAGAGAATAGGATCAATAGACTTCATTATCGGTGGAGAATAGCCTCGGTCTGATTCCGTGATCTGTAGCCTCTCGAATTGAAAGAAAATGGCATTTCGGATAAATCGGCCGAAATCTGTGATAGTACCCCTATGGAATCTGCCAAAAATTGACCCGGAATAAATCCGCCCAAATCGGTGCTTAATGGACTTGATCATCGTTGGAGAATAGCCTCAGGCCGAATCCGTGATCTGTAGCCTTCAATATCCAAAGAAAATGGCCGTTCTCGCCCATGAAATTACGAAAATTCCATCCGAAAATAAATTGGCCAAATCCATGCTTAACGGACTTATCATCCGTAGAGAATAGGATCAATAGACTTCATTATCGGTGGAACATAGCCTCGGCCTGATTTCGCGATCTGTAGCCTCTCCAATCAAAAGAAAATGGCATTTCGGATAAATCGGCCGAAATCTGTGATGGTATCCCTTTGAATCGGCCAAAAATTGGCCCGGAATAAATCCGCCCAAATCGGTGCTTAATGGACTCAATCATCATTGGAGAATAGACACAGTCCGAATTCGTGATCTGTAGCCTTCAATATCCAAAGAAAATGGCCTTTCGTCGCCTAAGAAATTACGAAAATGCCATCCGAAAATAAATCGGCCCAAATCGATGCTTAACGGACTTATCATCCATGGAGAATAGAATAAATTGACATCATTATCGGTGGAGAATAGCCTCGGCCTGTTTCCGTGATCTGTAGCCTCCAGAAACGAAAGAAAATGGCATTTCGGATAAATCGACCGAAAGCTGTGATGGTACCCCTTTGGATTATGCCCAAAATTGACCCGGAATAAATCCGCCCAAATCAGTGCTTAATGGACTCAATCATCGTTGGAGAATAGCCTCAAGCCGAATCCGTGATCGGTAGTCTTCAATATCCAAAGAAAATGGGCTTTCGTCGCCCAAGAAATTACGAAAATGCCATCCGAAAATAAATTGGCCCAAATCGATGCTTAACGGACTTATCATCCGTGGAGAATAGGATCAATAGACTTCATTATCGGTGGAGATTAGCCTCGGTCTGATTCCGTGATATGTAGCCTCTCGAATCGAAAGAAAATGGCATTTCGGATAAATCGGCCGAAATCTGTGATGGTACCCCTTTGGAATCTGCCAAAAATTGACCCGGAATAAATCCGCCCAAATCGGTGCTTAATGGACTTGATCATCGTTGGAGAATAGCCTTAGGCCGAATCCGTGATCTGTAGCCTTCAATATCTAAAGAAAATGGCCTTTCGTCGCCCATGAAATTACGAAAATTCCATCCGAAAATAAATTGGCCAAATCCATGCTTAACGGACTTATCATCCGTAGAGAATAGGATCAATAGACTTCATTATCGGTGGAGCATAGCCTCGGCCTGATTTCGTGATCTGTAGCCTCTCCAATCAAAAGAAAATGGCATTTCGGATAAATCAACCGAAATCTGTGATGGTACCCGTTGGAATCTGCCAAAAATTGACCAGGAATAAATGCGCCCAAATCGTTTCTTAATGGACTCGATCATCGTTGGAGAATAGCCTCAGGCCGAATCCGTGATCTGTAGCCTTCAATATCCAAAGAAAATGGCCTTTCGTTGCCCAAGAAATTACGAAAATGCCATCCGAAAAATAAATTGGCCCAAATCGATGCTTAACGGACTTATCATCCGTGGAGAATAGGATCAATAGACTTCATTATCGGTGGAGAATAGCCTCGGTCTGTTTCCGTGATCTGTAACCTCTCGAATCGAAAGAAAATGACATTTCGAATAAATCGGCCGAAATCTGTGATGGTACCCCTTTGGAATCTGCCAAAAATTGTCCCGGAATAAATTCGCCCCAATCGGTGCTTAATGGACTCGATCATCGTTGGAGAATAGCCTCAGGCCGAATCCGTGATCTGTAGCCTTCAATATCCAAAGAAAATGGTCTTTCGTCGCCCAAGAAATTACGAAAATGCCATCCGAAAATAAATTGGCCCAAATCGATGCTTAACGTACTTATCATCCATGGAGAATAGGATCAATAGACTTCATTATCGATGGAGAATAGCCTGGGCCTGATTTTGTGATCTGTAGCCTCCAGAATCGAAAGAAAATGGCATTTCGGATAAATCGCCAGAAATCTGTGATGGTACCCCATTGGAATCCGCCAATAATTGACCAGGAATAAATCCGCCTGAATCGGTGCTTAATGGATTCAATGATCGTTGGAGAATAGCCTCAGGCCGAATCCGTGATCTGTAGCTTTCAATATCCAAAGAAAATGGCCTTTCGTGGTCTAAGAAATTACGAAAATGCCATCCGAAAATAAATTGGCCCAAATCGATGCTTAACGGACTTATCATCCATGGAGAATAGGATCAATTGACTTCATTATCGGTGGAGAATAGTCTCGGCCTGATTCCGTGATCTGTAGCCTCCAAAATCGAAAGAAAATGTCATTTTGGATAAATCGCCCGAAATAAGTGATGGTACCCCTTTGGAATCTGCCAAAAATTGATCCGGAATTAACGCGCCTAAATCAATGCTTAATAAACTCAATCATCGTTGGAGAATAGCCTCAGGCCGAATCCGTGATCTGTAGCCTTCAATATCCACAGAAAATGGCCTTTCGTCGCCCAAGAAATTACGAAAATGCCATCCGAAAATAAATTGGCCCAAATCGATGCTTAACAGACTTATCATCCGTGGAGAATAGGATCAATAGAATTCATTATCGTTGGAGAATAGCCTCGACCTGATTCCGTGATCTGTAACCTCCAAAATCGAAAAAATGGCATTTTGGATAAATCGCCCGAAATTTGTGATGGTACCCCTCAAGAAATCTGCCAAAAATTCTCCCGGAATAAATCCGCCCAAATATGTGCTTAATGGACTCAATCATCGTTGGAGAATAGCCTTAGGCCGAATCCGTGATTTGTAGCTTTCAATTTCCAAAGAAAATGGCCTTTCGTCGCCCAAGAAGTTACGAAAATGCTATCCGAAAATAAATTGGCCCAAATCGATGCTTAACGGACTTAACATCAGTGGAGAATAATATCAATAGACTTCATTCTGGATGAAGAATAGTCTCGGCCGGATTCCGTGATATGTAACCTCCAGAATCGAAAGAAAACGACATTTCGAATAAAACGCCCAAAATCTGTGATAGTACTCCATTGGAATCTGCCAAAAATTGACAAGGTTTAAATCTGCACAAATCGGTGCTTAATGGACTCAATCATCGTGGAGAATAGACTCAGGCCGAATCCGTGATCTGTAGCCTTCAATATCAAAAGAAAATGGCCTTTCGTCGCAAAGAAATCACGAAAATGCCATCCGAAAATAAATTTGCTCAAATCGATGCTTAAAGGACTTATCATCTGTGGAGAATAGGATCAATAGACTTCATTATCGGTGGAGAATAGCCTCGGCCTGATTCCGTGATCTGTAGACTCCAGAATTGAAAGAAAATGGCATTTCGGATAAATCGCCTGAAATCTGTGATGGTACCCCTTTGGAATCTGCCAAAAATTGACCCAGAATAAATCTGCCCGAATCGGTGCTTAATGGAGTCAATGATCGTTGGAGAATAGCCTCGGGCCGAATCCGTGATCTGTAGGCTTCAATATTCAAAGAAAATGGCCTTTCGTCGCACAAGAAATTACGAAAATGCCATCCGGAAAATAAATTGGCCCAAATCGATGCTTAACGGACTTATCATCTGTGGAGAATAGGATCAATAGACTTAATTATCGGTGGAGAATAGCCTCGGCCTGATTCCGTGATCTGTAGCCTCCAGAATCGAAAGAAAATAGCATTTCGGATAAATCGCCTGAAATCTGTGATGGTACCCCTTTGGAATCTGCCAAAAATTGACCCAGAATAAATCTGCCCGAATCGGTGCTTAATGGACTCAATGATCCATGGAGAATAGCCTCAGGCCGCATCCGTGATCTGTAGCCTTCAATATCCAAAGAAAATGGCCTTTCGTCGCACAAGAAATTACGAAAATGCCTTCCGAAAATAAATTGGCCCAAATCGATGCTTAACGGACTTATCATCCGTGGAGAATTGGATCAATTGACTTCTTTATTAGTGGAGAATAGCCTCGGCCTGATTCCGTGATCTGTAGCCTCCAGAATCGAAAGAAAATGGCAGTTTGGATAAATCGCTCGAAATCTGTGATGGTACCCCTTTGGAATCTGCCAAATTGACCCGGAATAAATCCGCCAAAATCGGTGCTTAATGTACTCAATCATCGTTGGAGAATAGCCTCAGGGCGAATCCGTGATCTGTAGCCTTTAATATCCAAAGAAAATGGCCTTTCGACTCCCAAGAAATTACGAATATGCCATCCGAAAATAAATTGGCCCAACTCGATGCTTAACGGACTTATCATCCGTGGAGAATAGGATCAATAGACTTCATTATAGGTGGAGAATAGCCTCGGCCTGATTCCATGATCTGTAGCCTCCAGAATCGAAAGAAAATGACATTTCGGATAAATCGCCCGAAATCTGTGATGGTACCTCTTGGAATCGGCCAAAAATTGGCCCGGAATAAATCCGCCCAAATCGGTGCTTAATGGACTCAATCATCATTGGAGAATAGACACATTCCGAATCCGTGATCTATAGCCTTCAATATCCAAAGAAAATGTCCTTTCGTCGCCGAAGCAATTACGAAAATGCCATACGAAAATAAATTGGCCCAAATCGATGCTTAACGGACTTATCATCCGTGGAGAATAGAATAAATTGACTTCATTATCGGTGGAGAATAGCCTCGCCCTGTTTCCGCGATCTGTAGCCTCCAGAAACGAAAGAAAATGGCATTTCAGATAAATCGCCCGAAAGCTGTGATGGTACCCCCTTGGATTATGCCAAAAATTGACCC